TCTTTAATTTTTTCATCAAAACGATACAGAACTTATGACAAATAAAGAAAAAGGTGAAAATGAGTCAACTGTGTTCGTTTCATTTTTTTATTCAGAAGTATTCTTTATTTAATTCAAAAAGGAAAAATCGCCAAAAAAAGGAAACGGTCGGGGAGGCTAAAAGTGCATTTTTGTATTTGGCCTAGGAAAGTTTACGGTAGTACTTAATAGTACGGATCGTCATGAAATAAAATGGCGGCAGCTATAGTGAAATAGAAAGTTTGAGTGCTACAAAAAGTATTGAAATTTCAAGGCAATCCATTATATATTTGGTCATTGTTATGTGTGTGGCCACCCAAAGGAGATTGGAGGTACCACTAGTGAATGAGGTCTTCCTGCCAGAGCTTTCTCATCAGCAGGAGAGACAGGTGTAAGAAGATAAAGAAGAGAACCTGTGGGGCAGACACAAGCTTCTCCACCTGGAGAGATGTATTTCTTGAATAGTATTGGTTGTGGAGAACCACAGGTTTATGCAGATCTAGGAGAGAAGTTTCCAATAGTAACTCATCATTACTTCACACAGAAACAAGCATTTTCCAAAACATAAGCTCCCTGGACACTAACAAAATACCATGCTCCTGACATCATAGGTGCCTCAGCCATTTGCTGGAGAGATACTACTGCAGATCTTGCTTCTGCAGCCACAAGTCCTTGTTAGTGCAGTGAAGAAAATATCTCCTCCAACATTCAAGAATACAGCTAATAAAAACCTACACCACTTCCTTATACATTTCAACAGGTCACTGCTTGGAATGGCTAGACTCAGGAAAAGATGGTGCAATGAAAACACGATGCTGAGCCTTGACAATCAACAACACATTCAGAATGCTACAACATCAAATGATATACATTTATGTCCTGCATTGACCTCAGCCACTGGACACAGTCTCAGAGTACCACCAATACATCTTTGTGGCTAGGAAGACTTTACTACTTGAAAAATAGAAAGGATTTTAGTGAGACACTGACTACCCTGTCTCACGATGTCACAGCATTTCTTTATGAACCCCAATCACTGCATATGCACCTCCTCTCTTCTTGGTCACAAATTACTCTGATCAGCATCTGTGATAATCAACACTGATTAATCTCGGGACATTCAGACTGAGTATTACCACCCTATACTCATGCATGCAAAAAGAGTATCCAGTAGACGATAAATTATATCAGCTAGTTTCCTCTGTTTCAGTTCTGTGAACAAGTCAATAATGGGGACATAACTCTCATTATGCTTGGCAAAAACTCTTGGTCCAGAAGAGGTTTTTATTAGTCCTTGGAGGCTGTTTCCCCAGTTCAAATGCAGCTTTATCCTCTCCTTTATTGGCTTTACATGATCTTAGAAATTGCTCTTTCATGACATCAGTTTACAAACTTTACAGTACTCAAAATAAATAATGAAGTACCTTAAAAATAGACCATACAGAAACAAATCCTAGATCATGGCATCAAAATGTAACTCAATGAAATACCGATATTCATATTCACTGATCTTCTAAAGAAAAGTATTAAGAGCTGCAAAAAGCAGTATATTAAGAAAATGTTTTACAAATAATAAAATGAAAATGAACACCAAAAAAAGAAGCAAACTCAAAAAAATTAACAAAGCAAATATGATGAGCTGGGATTACACTTTTATTGTCTTGCTTACTAATGATCTATATTACCAGAACTTATCAAACTTCTTGGAGCAGGAGACATCTATACAAGATGAAGAATGAAGCAAGAATTGTGGTATGTTGCACTGTTATACCGGAATGGAAGTTCCTAGTATATCCCAGTATCCTAGATTATCTAAATCAACAACCATTCCCACTGTACATTTTCAAGACAAATAAACCTAGTCCATACTAAGTTGTACCCATCTCTGTACCACTTTTCAACTTGGGAAGTGTTCAAGTTTCATGGATGGAATGATACAGAAAAAGACCAAGTGAGTAAAAGCCTTTAAGGGTGGCTGCTGTGGCATGCAACCTTTCTTACAGATAGAGAATTGGTGCAAATTTACAACCTTTCACATCCAATTTTACAAGAACATTAACTAAATGCAGATTACCTGCATAAAGTTTTTGATTCACATGGATGTATATGAATAAGGATATATATATTCTTTTATAGTTAGGAAATGATGAAATGTAGTAGTTTTTCAACTATTACTGTTGGAGAGTGTTGGGTTGTTTCACCAGTTTAAAACATGTATTGTACAACAGCTGAATCGACTCCCACATACTGTAGGAGACCATGACAATAGCTGTTCGAAAGAGCATTTACAATCCTCACATAATACCCAGAAAATAAATCTACAGGTTGGTATACACCAGGACCTGTAACTTTCATTATTTCTTTGAACCTTTGTAACAAACCTGAAAAGATAAGTTTCTTCTTAAGGATACTGTTTACAATCCTTGCACAGAAAGAATGACATCTAGTTTTTCACATCCAGTTGATGAAAGATATCTGAGGTATCACTAAATCCATTATCTGCAACAACCACATCATTTGGTGATGTCCAAGTACTTGTACACATTGTAAATTTACTTTAGGAATGCATACTTGGCATTTTTCTGTATACACATATACATGCCATCTAAAACTAGGATGGTAAAATAATTTTTCCATTTTGCAAAAAAGATCCCATGCAAGAAAACACATGATTAAATGTGAATTTTGGGTGATTGATAAATCCAAACACAAGACACAAAGAAGCAAAACTGGCCATCAAAGCATAACAATCCAAGTGCATTGCTCTCTTTATAGCAGTGCTATTCTTTAAACCAAGAAATATATACAGGATTCTGTTGGATAATCCAGTATGGAGATTAACAAGGAGAACTCCCAAATAGGTTTGCACAATCTTACATGGAAGATTCCTGATGGAATCTTGGGACAGGTCATCAAATTGGGACATGGTCAATCCAATCAAATTATTCACCATCAGTTAGTTTGCAAGATCCATCAAAATCTTGTTTGCTGTTACATGTTTAAAAAACAAGTTCTGTTACAAGTGATATATTCAATCATTTTTGCATCTATCACATGGGATGAAGTGGATACAAACTGCTTTTGTCTAGGTGACTTTTGCAGTGCCAGACTTCAGTAGTGATGATATTACACTGCGAAACAAATTATTACGTTTGTGCTTCAAGCGGTGCAACAATCACAGTCAGCTCAGTATGTTTTAGGTTTGAGCAAGTAACACATTTGGCAAGACTATTACCTGTTAACCTGATTTCAGTTTCAAATGCTTAGGGCTTGTACAACCTGGCTTGCTCAAAGAAGCATCAGAAGTGGAATATAGAGAAGGAGCATAGTTTGGATCACCATCTTCTGGAAGAGAATCATTAGGGTACATGGCATTTAAAATAATAGTTACTACTGATGGTATTTGGTGCAAATGACATAATCCCCAACAGGAATATTTTCTCTCTTTGAATATATCTTCTTAATTTATCATTACACGGTTCTTATATATGCCTTCTCCCTTAAGTCTCACACGTTATGTGGCATGCAACACACCTGTATTCCTTCAGCATGGCTGAACGAGGGCTTAGTAATATTTTAAACAATCATCTTTAAACATTTAGCATGTCTAATAAGATAAGCAACACACTAAAGACTATTGTTGTTTAAAGAAGATGCTCACTTTAAAAAAAGAATGCATAGAATGGAAATGAAGTGAAAATAGTTTACACTCTCAGACTGAACATAGTTAATGAATTACCAGTACAACTGAGATAAGGAAAAGGTGTGGTTTGTTCTGAACATTCATGTACAGCTACACAAGGGCTATTTGCACTAGCCATTCCTAATTTTGAACTGACAGACTTAGAGAAAGCAGTTGGTCAACAGCACTCACAACCAACGCTTATACTACTCTAATTCAATAGCTGATTTAACCATCACTTTTGCTACATAGCTATGACCCCAAAATGTGTGATATTATTTTCTGTGTGTGACAACAGAATGTGAACCACTATACTTTGCCCATGGAATAAGATGAACAACACACAATGGTCATTAGTAGGGGTTTGTATGTATCTTTACAACTTATTTTCAAACTTTTGTTTTCAAATAATTAGGTTAAATTAATCTTGACTACCTATTACTGTAAACAATTATAAAAATTTAGGTTTCTTGAGAAACAAACTTATATTTCTGTTGTTTTTTTTTCAATTAATTTTCATAAAAACACAAGCAGTTTTGGAATATTTTACCCAATCAAATAACATGCAACTCCTTATAAGAAGGAACTACAAAAAGTTCCTGTTTTTAAAAGTTTTGTTTAAGTGAATCATTTCCAAGAGTTCAGAAACTAAACATGACACATCTTGTGTTTCACATTTTTATACAAATTAATTACTAAAAATATCATGTAAGTTATAAAAGCTACAGACTACACGTGATTGTAAGAATTGAAAAACAGTGTAAAATAACCAGGAAGTTGTTACATGTATATTTAAAGAAGAGAAGTCAACTTCAAAAATTTTATTTTCAAATTCTAAATAATTAGTGATTTTTGGGCTTCACAACAGGTCTATCACCTTGAAGAAAAAATATTTTGGTAACAAAACATTCAATTATTTTAAAGAACCTTTCAATTTAACCAATGAGATATTTTCATAAATTCGACTTTATATATTTGTTTGTTTGGTAATGTCAGTGATTTTAGTTAATAACTTTTTTCTGATGGGTTCTAATTAAAGATGGTTCAACATTTACAATTCAGATAAGTTAATTACTGATACAGAAACCAGTAATAAAAATTTATAACTAAGAATACAATTTTTATATTTAAGATGACTGCAATATAATTAATATTAACTTCTGATCAGAGCAAGCTATGCATTTAGAGCAAAACTAAAAATACTGCCACTTGCTAATTTGTTTTCACAGTCCTCACAGTATCGGAATGAACTCAAACTTTTGACAGAGTATGTCTTTTGTGTAATTAATTAACTACAAAGTTCAAATTCAACATAAGCTATTTATTTTAGATTCTAAATGGAGTTCTGTAATGATATAAAAAGACACTTTAAAGCAAGATTAACTTACAAACAAAAACTTGTACTACACAACCAAGCAGTTTTTAACACAAGCAATGCAAAATTTAGTGATTTTAGTTTATCCCAAATTATATTTCAACATTCAGAATGTCAGAACATAAACTAAAAAACAAACAAATATATTCAGGTAATCTAAACTTGAATTTCACAACAAAAATAACTTTGCAGAAGACTTATTTTATAACAAAGCAACATTATAACAGTTGAAAAAATAATACATATAAATATCAAGCATTCATATAGATTGAGAAAATATGCTAATGTTAAGTATAAAGAGCTTTGACAACAGATATTTTGATACATGTCATTCTTGTTCACTAGTGAGAAACATCATATGCTAATAAACAATGTAAAGTGTAAATAATAATAATTGTTTTGTTATGCTTTTATTTATAACTTTTAGTCAAAATACAAGATTGCTAAGTATATATAAAAACTATTTTCAGTTATGTGAAAAATTCCTAAATCAAATCTAAAATTAATTCTCTTAAACAATACTTATCCAAAGTACTGCATATTAAGGTTATAATAACAAACCATAGAATACAAATTTCAGAAGATAATTCATAAATCTAAAACTAATAGTGCTATTTCTTCCTGAGATTGAAATCTCATTCATTAATCTAGCTTTTCCAAAATAGGAGAGTGAGATTATTAGGTCCTCTTTCCTTTACACTTTAAGTTAAAACTTGACTGGATGAACCAATTTTAGAACAAAATAATTAATTATTAAAAAATATAACAATTACTATGAAAATAAATTAAACATTATTTAAATTTATCCTGTTCTACCTAAGATATTTAAAATAGTGTTGTTTTTTTTTATTATTCGAACATCAGTCTAGCATACTTCTGATTTCTATGTAAAGTTTAGATGGATCTGGTTCATTAGTAGAAAATCACTTGTACATCAATACAAATTCACTTGCTTGTTTCACTGAATGAAAATGAATATGGAATAAAAAAAGGGTGAAAAAAATATTCCAGATGTCACCAGTCTATTTAAAATAAAATATATAAAGAGTATATTTACTCACTTTCAATGAGGAGTTGGATGTGTGATCTTTCTGGAAATTTTAAAACAGACAAATGCACTTACCTAATTATTATTCTTTATCTTCAAACTAAGAGTCAGATAAAAAAATTTCTTTTAAACAAAGATTCACACAAGTGCAACTAAATTTTGTCCTGCTTCATTGGTTTCCAGTTAAATTGTCTTTTCAATTATTCACTGGCTTTGATCTACTTATTGTCTTTCAAACAATACAGTGCATCTATCAATTGCTCTAAATATTAGAAAATATTTTTTTTTACCTACAAAATTGTTCACAAAAAACTAAAATCTCTCATTTAGTGAATCAACAATTTTGACAACAGTATCACCTTTAATTAAATTTCTTTAGTTACGCAAATATTTGAGATTCCTCTAATGTTTGCTCCATATGATGCTCTCATTTTATAAAGGCTGTGTCTAGGTATCCAGGAATGGGAGTGAGCAATTGGAAAGTAAAGTGTAATTGGCTGAAAAGTATGATGCCATAAGTGTACTCATCATGTTGTTTGTTGACCATTTACTGTCAATTTCTGTCTGATATTCTGTCCTCCATGAATAGACCTACTCAATAAATGAAATTAGGCTTTAAATTCCTCTAGTAAGTTACAGCTTACTGCACTGATTTTTTTGCAGTCTTGTTTACTAATTGTGTAAATTTTTGTATCTTTATGAATTTACTGCTGTCTATAAATCTTATGATTTTAACTTTCTCTCTATAAAGAAATAATATTTTTCTACCATATCCATAAAGGCCTATGTGTTGCAATGTTTGCATACTTCAGTACTAGAACCACTTAGTGTTCTGGTTCACTCCAAATCCCCTCTTTTAGGAAAGCAATTATATCAGAAAAAAAGTACATTCTCTAACACAAGTTATATTTTTTACAGTATTCCAAAAAATAGTCCTGTTTCCATAAGCCTGGGGGCTGCTTCTAATAGAAAAAAACCTGGATGCTAACCTTAACCATTTTTGCTTCCTGGCTTCTTTCTTGGATGGATTGACATCATAAATTTCAAATAATCACATGAAATTTCTGGTTATCTTCCTCACTCTTACTCCCAAGCACCCAGACATAGCCTTTAAAAAATATTAAATTTTGAGATTTTAAAGCAATTTTAAAAATAACAATGATCAAAACACACCATTTATAACAATAACAGTTTGATATATTTCACCTCTATCCCCCCTCTTGTATATAATGATTTGAGTCAATGTTTTGTTAGTAACAAGGATATAAACCACAGGTGAAGATGGCTTTGAGAGCACTAGCATACATTTATTAAGAAAATTGGCTGTTGAAGATTTATTAGTTTACAAGTTCAACATAGTTTGCTGGAAGCATGCCAGTTTGTCCTGTACGCTGCACCGTGCCTGTCATCCATCCCTCATCGATGGGAGTACAGTTGATAATTAGGTCACCATCCATAAATGTAACCTCATCGACATCTGAGGCAGTGTAATCGTACATGGCTCGAAAAGCCCGCTTAAAAAAAAGAAAAAAAAAGATTTCTCACATACTATCAACCAGTTTTAATAATTCAACTTATTGTAGCCAGTTCATCAATACAGTTTTGTTCTGTAAAAATAAAATTTAACAAGTTAATTCTAAACTTGTAATTTGCTTTGATAATTATGACCAGCATATAACAATATAAAGAAATTGGTGGAAGCACACCAGCAAAAAAAAACTATATATATATATATTCTTCACTTACATGACAGACTGACAACAAATTTTATCCTTAAAAACAACAATTTGCCATTTTTTTTTCTTTTTAAGCTCTTATTAAATATAAATAGCTCACAATCATATTTACATTATTTCCTGGTATCAATTTAAAACTTGTAAATAAAGAGCAATGATACGAATCCTTTACTGCACTGTCAACATGTTCATAATTTAAAGGATTTAAAATGAGTAACTTAAAATTGCCAATTTAACACTATCAAATCATGTTAAGGCTTGCTCATATTGCAAACCATATGAAAACATAAGGCTAACATAAATATCATAATGTAATGTGGCCACTCATCTCCTCAGGAAAGTTAAAGGAGTTTCAACTTTTTTGGTGGAACATTATAAAATTGGCCAATCAGAAAAGACCTTCCCCTATCTTCAAAATGGCTGCAGCTTCAGTGTTTAAAATCGTATTAAATTTTTTTTTTCTTATTCAGTTCATGAAAGTTCACCCAATTATTTATGTTAAATTACAAAGAAGTTGTATTATTTATTATAAAGAAGTTGACAAAGCATTTTTGGGATTTACAGTTTATTTCTAATACATATGCATATCTGAATATATCTCTGACCCAAATACTTTATTCATTTCTTTGTTGCCTCTGTCTGATCATTTCCATAAGTGAAACAAATTCAATGGATATAATGATTAAATGTTATCATTGTGACCCATTTTCTGTTGACTTCATTCATCTTCAAGTGTCTGAATAGTCTGAACTGCACATCATTCCATCAAACATTGATATGTCATTGTTATCTTTCTTATGCCTTGCAGTGTGAACTAACCTTTATAGTTGAGTAATAACATGTGAGCTTACATAAGTACTAACAACTGTGGTCATTCTGATAATGCTTCATAAACCAATATAGCAATACATGGTCCACATTTTATTGTACAAAGCAGAATGAAAACGATATAGTCCTATGAATTGGGATTATTGATCCATCAGCAAAAAACCTTTCAGCAGAGATTCAGGCTACAAAAGTTGTTTAATTTATTTTGTGTAGAAATTAGTTCCCAGAAATAAATCATTACAATGTAATGATGAGAATTATACACATTTCCAAATTTTTAAGTAATCTTTACATATTAGTCATGCTAACTATATTCTTACACTAGTTTCAGAATGACAAACACTATCATTACAACAAAAATTTATGATAATATTTTTTTTATTGTTAACTTTGCAAAACATTGCAAGATTCTGTAATAAATAAACAATACAAATGATTGTTAATGGTTATATTTATTTGACACATTATTTCATAAAAAACGTACAGAATTGTACACCTAATTTAATACTGTTTATAGTTTTAAATTATTCATATAAAACAAGAAATATATGTACCATGTCATGCATAATATTTTTGTTTCTAGACCACTATACTACATGAAAAGTACTGTTCAAAATGGACTGGTTTGAGCCTAAACCAAAATCTCCACACATAAATGATGCAGTGTAGATTAAAAAACAACTTACTTACCCCATGTGACTGTTGTGAAGGAGAAACACCTAAGTAAAAGAAGTAAAATTACATAATCAATACTTATTGAAAAAATACTATTAAAACAAAAGGTTTTCCCATCATAAAATAATCTATAAGCTGATTCGAAATACAGACTATTTGTAATTCCTTTGTATTATATGAAGTCTACTTAAACCTACAACTGAAACAACTCTTATTTCTTGGGTTGATCACATACACACACAAACAAATAGATATATATTAAGTTATAATGAAATGAATCTATAGAAAAAGGTATAAAAAGATATGCAGTCAGTGTAAGTTCTTTGAAAACCTTGAAATTGCCAGTGGTATTGGCCATGATGTATTTCCCCAGTTCAAGTAACTTCAAAAATCTGAAAAGCAATCTTTCCTTCATAATTTAATCAATGAATAACATTTCAAATAAATTTAGTAATTTTGAATAGTTTCATTTGAGATATTTTTTTTACAACTACAAATCACTAAACAATTTACTTTTTGCCATCAAAATCTTACTATAAAGACAGCTAGAAATTCATTGTAGTCAGTGGACTAAAGGAACATAACATTACTAACCACCATAAAAGTGGGTTGTGGTATGGGTTGTGTCCGGTCGGAAGCCTGAAGCTATGGAACCATAATTCTCATGCATAGGATCATAGTCAGCAATTGATCCAATCTTCCGTGATGGAGCACTTTGTACTGTGGTAGTAATTAAAAAATTGATTATGTCACATGTTATGTGTTGACTTTCCAGTATTTGTTATGGAAAAAAAAAGGAATTGTGTTAAGTACTTAACTGTTTCTTTATCATTCACAATATTTGTAATCTATAATTAACTTACAATCTTATTTGGCCCATCTCTTTAGTACATGGAAAATGAAATTAAATAATATTTGATCCCAAAATTGTTTAAATCTGTGTTAAATCACTACTTCTAGATGTGCTAAAGCATAAATAATTTCCTGCTGAGTCTTTTCTCCAAGTTTCTGTCTTTCAATGAAGTAACAAGTAAAACTCAAATGTTTTACAAAGTTAATACATAGAATGGAAATGAGTTATCAAAGCACAAATAAAAATCTGATGTTAGTGTTTAAACATTTTCGTCAGTTAATAAAAATTATGTTGTAGATATCACAAAGATGACATAGCATGCAATTTTAAAATACAACATCCATCAGCATTATGTGTTAATACAAGTATATGTAATAGGTACAAAAATAATTTTGAAATTAAATACTTTTAAGTTTGTGTTGTTAATCCTAAGTTAAATCCATACCATACATAAAAAATAACACCAAGTTTAAACTTAAAAAAAAATTAGATTTAGAACAAACTTCAAGAAGAGAGCAACAAATCCATCTCTCTATACACTTATATTAATAAATTACTTGAATAAAAGAAAAACAAACCATACATTTAAAAATAAGCTAAATGGTAGATATTACTTTGATGACAAAAAATCCATATAACTAAATACCTTCATGTTTGGTGTTAATAAAATACAAGTTCACTTACTATAATTTAAAACACAAACATTGATTTGATTTGAGATTCACAAAGTAGTATTAGTCTTGCATAATACCATGTATTAAAGCAAAAACATTAACAACACATGTAAGATATTATTATTAAATTATACAATCTAGCAAAGTAAGTGATGAGTCATGATCAGATAAAAGGAATTAAGATGCTTAAGTTGTTCCTTTGGTAAGTACTCTTTCCCTTTGTAAACAATATTTGATAAATTAATTTAGAGTTCACTGTCTGTATGCAAAAAGGCACATTTGTTTTACAGTTTCTTGAGGTATTTGAATACCTGGACCTTCTTCTGAAGTGTAGATAACTGTTGACTGGAGTTTGGAAGAATATGGGGAATCCTGGACTTCTTGCTTTGTAGAGGTTTCATAGGCCACACCACGTGAAGAACGTGGATGGCTTCTCTCTGGTGGAAAGGCACTTGAGGCTATATAGCAAACACACACACACATACAAGCATAAAACACACACACAAGAGCAGATATGTTCAAAACACTGTTGCAATCACAGACTAACAAATCAAGTGACATAAAAAAGGCTGAACAACTCAAACGGTAACCTTCAATGACTGAAACATGCACTACATGCAAAATACTTAGCTTTTTCAGACAGAACCACAATTATATTGTTAGTCTGAGGTTTTAAGATTGTTAATTTATATACTGCATGTTAGAGATCTTAATTTTATGAAGGGGGGATTTCTGATTTATTTATTTTTTAATAGTGGACACTACCAAATAAATTTATACCATTTATCTTAAAGTTGTTCTTCCTTCAGTGTAAAATACTGTCTTCTTACAAACTTCAATTATTAATATACACAAAATAGACAAGTGTGTTGGTTATTGTCAATATACCAAGTTCACAAGTTCCATAGCGTTATTGACCAGTTGCATTCTATATTTTTATAAATCAACTTTAAAAAAGTGTGCATATGAAGTATACTTCATTAATGTACAATACAGGAGGGGGGGGGGAAGAGTTAAAAGTAACGTATAGAGAACTTGATGGTTTTAGCCTAGATTCTTTCTGGTGTATAATGAGTAAACTTTATTAATTTAAATAAAATGGTGAAACATAACTTTGATTTTCAATAACCTAAAATTGATGGATTGTGACATTGAAAAAGAAACCATAACTTATAATTAACTTTAAAGATTACATTAATATAAATAACATTTGAATGAATGTTCAAATTATAAGTCAGTTGCACATTATGCCTATGCATATAAGAAGGATTAAGTTTTTACACAACAATTTGACATTTACATTAAATATTACTTTTACAGGTCCAGTAACTAGTCTCACAACACATATTGTGATACACAAGTCATGATACAATACACAATTCCTTCCACATATCTCTGTTTAAATGACTAAAACATAATTGTTACATTTTTAGATAGACACACAGAGCTATTTCAAAATCTAAAAACATACATTTACTAATAAAAAATAACCACTTACTTAGGTTTAAAGAAGTTACAATCTCTGACCCCCCAAACATACATTAACAAATGTTAATTCTAGTTATGTAAATACAAAGTATGACAGCTCTTTACCTGTTTTTCTTTACAATTCCTGCAAATTGACTTCTAAATGAAGCTGACTTATGCATCAAACATGTTCAATGTATTCACCCTGTATATTTGACATGTTTTTCACAGCTTACACACACTGCTAGTTTTGTCAAGCCTTATTTTTTGTGGCGAGAGAAAAACCCCAACTTTCCACACAAATGATTAATAAAGAGCTTTGAATTCCAGGTTCTTGATTTTTTACCTCAACGTAACAGTTGTAACTATCATTCACTGCATGCCATTGCATGCTACACAAACACATTGCATGTAAGTCAGGGAACCAATGATGAAAAAGGGCTCTAAATATGGTTTAGATATTGGTTGACACATCACTGTGGAACTGTAAATGGGTAGAAGTATTAAAATTAGGGTGATTAAAGAAATTTCAAGGAGGGTCAAAATTTGGTACATGCTTCCCTCATGAAGGAGAGCTGTTTATTTATCTCTTGGCTTTGAATTTGTTGAACCAAGATATTTAGATTAACTAACAAGGGTTAAGTTAGTAAGAAAGAATATTCCAACAAATAAACTTTATAAAGGGGAAAGCTTAAAAAAATGAGGGTGGGCGGGAGACCCACCAATATCTCTTAGTTGACAAAGTGGTTGAATTAGCTGATTTATATAATATATCTATGTATATGATGGGATTTCTTCATTAAAATTAGCTGAGTTGAGTAGATGCACAACATTAATCAAATAATTGTCAAGCTGGGAATAGGTTCTCTGGTCTGAGGAATGCTTGTCATGGAAAGTCCCCAAAGGAACACAACTTGAACTTGCAGTTTGACAGTGCCTATAAATTATAAGTATTGCTCACAAATAAATACAGTTTCAATGAAATATCTAACCACATCCCATTTTTTAAATGACTTACACTGCTTTTTATTCACAAAGAAAGAATTTGACAGTACGAAGTTCTTACGGACAACTCATCGTTTTCATATACATATTCAAATGAGCAAACTTTCAAATGGTTATGTGGATCCATGCATTGCAACCCATTCTTCCTCTACCATCTCTATTTACTAAAGGTTGGGAATATAATGATAATGAAGCAGCACCAAATTCAGTTGTAATGTTAACCATGTGTATGGTTGTATGAAGAATTGTTGTGATTGATGTCACTGAAAGAAACTTGGGATGCAAAGAACTGAGGCCTGCAAATGTGATAGTGATTGTGAAAATTTGCAAAGGGAGGATGATGAAGTGGATTCTGAATCGGACTCTTAACTGGACTAGATTATTTCAATAACATTTTCAAAACCCTGTCTGTACAATTTGATTATGAAGAGTTTGGAAGCTAGTAGAACATTATGATTTATGTTGAACCTTGATAGTGATGAGGGCATTCTATTTGCTGGTTTCTGATAAACTACTTGTTGAATCACATCCTATCAAAGTGTGAACTATTGGTAGGTATCTACAGACTTTCTTTCCTACGGATTATGCAGTAAATGGATGGCAATATACCTTTTCATTAGCATAATGCCAGTAAGAAAGAACAGTTCACATGCATCAATGACATTATAATGATGACAACATAGCATTGGTATGTCACTACTGGAAGAACAGAAAACAACTGTATTACAACCATTGGCTTTGGAGTACATGCAGTGCAGGAGCATCCTTGTCTCATGCTCCTCATGGCAGAGAAAATAATAAACAAAATACAAAGCTGTACTAAAAAAAACATTTTGATATTTATTTAGTAGGTTCTAAACATTATGCAAAATCAATGTGAAAATAGTAAAATAAAAAAATCTTAACATGAAAATCATCTTGCACTCAGTTTAGTCAGTCTGAGTCAAACTCTGACTCCATAAGTTCACAGACAAATATTTAGTAAAAATACTTAATTAAAAATCTGACTTTTGGTATACAAAAGCCTTGTATTATTTACTAAATGCTTGCCAAATTTTGTGAAGATACAAGTACAACATTCAGAGTAATAATAACTAGTGAATAAATTCAGACAAATAAGTAAAAATACAGAGTTAAGTAAGCAACTGACAAAATAACTTGAGGTGAAATTTCACAAACAATTTCCTCTGACACAGTTATTACACACTTGTGGGGTCACATGAAACCAATGCCCCCTATATTCCATTCCCATGTTACCCTTTTATTAAAATTTATTAAATTTTCAAATTAAATCTTTCTTGTTTTAATTTAAATTTGAGGAGTAAACCATTTAATGGCACAAAAGCCATAGGGCTTTCATATGCAGGTTCTTACATCTGATTCCTTAGAAAATTGTCCTAATCACACACATTTTTGTACTGCTACCCAATTTGTACTGCCAAGGGATGTATCTCTGAATCATTTGGATTTTGTTTTTCAGCTTTAAAAGTAAATTAAAGTTGATTTTCACGATGCTGGCTTCCTGACTACTACCAGGATACACTGTGTGAAATTTATATACAACCACAGTATCATGAAATTAAGCCTTTTGTGATTTGTAGATGATTACTTTGGCATGTTTATTGTTATGTATTGTGTATCATATCATTTTATAAAATATTGCAACATATTGATACGCTCCTAGTAACAGGATTTATTTTTTGATGCTTAGGTATGCCATAATACTAATGCAAATTAATAAGTTTCAATAATCAGAAGCACAAACTAAGAGTAAAGATCAGGGATGTGGAACTCATAACTGCCTGATGTCCAGAACAACAGGTTTTACCATTAAACTTTGATCATTGGACAAGGAGATTTTTTCTTTCATCTAACTCATTCTACCATTACAAAAACACTCTAGGTAGATTTTTAGGGTGTCACACAAGTTCCTGAAAATTCTGAACTGTAGAAATATGGTGCATTTACATTTAAAGAAATGTGCACCTCTACCCTCATCTCAAAACTTTATACAAAAATAACATATAACTTTAATTCACAAACCCTCAGTCACACACAGTTTCACTGTTAAATAGATGTTAAACACAATGGCAGTAGTAACGTAAATTACGATTTCTTTATCAATCTATATATATAGACATTCCACAAGCTGCACCATAAAATCCTATAACCTAAATGTTAAAAGCCATAAAATACATGAACAATTACATACAAAATGCTGAAATGTAAAATGTGGTATACACCATTACCAACAAAACTGAGCTGCCAATGGCACTGCATTGGTTACGTTCACTATTAATTAAAAGTAAAATCCTAAAATTTATATTCTACTTTTTTCTTTCTGTTTTGTGAGGTAGGGAGGGGACAAATAGTTTTTTAAGAAAGACGTATAGATTTTTTTTTTTTTGCCCATAGTTGCTTGGAAAAAAAGTTTTTAAAACATTCCATACATCTGAAAGGATGAATATTCCACTAACATTGAAATGTGAAATTCAAAATCATTTATGTTGTTAATGTAGAAGCTTTATGTCCAATATGCTATGATTAACTACATCCAGAAAATTCAAAATATAACCCAAACAAACAAATAAAAAACTTAATTCTGTAATATCAGGAAACAAAATAAAACACCTGGAACAACTTGAGGAGCACCATTTTTTTCTGGCACTAGGTAACGTTTTTGTTCCATTTCTTCCTTTTTCATGAGTTCCCCATGATAAGCTACATTGCTGATAATTTTGTGAGTATTGCGTATCCGAAGAGTTTCAGGGTCATCAGCAACTTGGGTAAACTTTCCTTTCTGTTTCTCAAATTCTTCATGATATTTAACCTACATGTATACCCCAAAAAATATATTTTTTGATTTGTAAAAAGAATCCTATCTAACATATGTATAAATTTTACCAGCTTTAAAAAATGTGGAAAGACCTGATTACTTTACAGAATCATTTCATTTCATATGTATTAGGTAGTATATGAATACAATTCATGAGCTTTCACAGAAGAAAGTATAGCTACACTGTTATACAATACACAAAACTGTCTTTTTTCATTTCCGGATTTTAATTTTTACAACATCCTGAGAAGCTGACACCCACACCCCATGCATATAAAATAAAAAGACACTTTTTATTTTTGAATTCTGTGGCTGTTATTTTACTTTTATGATCTAAGTAAACCACAAGACCATCACAACAACCTTGACATTCTACAGGAATTTTTTTAAAAACTGACAGTTTATTCATATAAATCACAATGATTTTTTTTGCTGTACCTGAATTTTAGGGAGATAGTGAGTTAGTTCCTGGTATTGAACAGGTGGAGAAAACTGTTCCCATTATATATTTCAGAATTTTGTAGATTGTATACTGTAAAAAGTAGTAATATAGAAAGTTCTTCCCTGTATAATTTCAATTCATTATCCTAAGACATATTCCATAGTACATGCCAGAGACGACAAGCTCTGTCTTTTCTTTTAAAAATATTATACAAGTAATGAGGAATAAATATAGAATCCACTTTTATATATATAAACATAGCTAAAGAAAATACCCAATTAATTATTGTTATAATGGCTGCAACTTCTGACCAATTGTAATGGATGTCTTTTTGCTGTCATAGTTGAAATGTTCTGCACTTTTTACTAAAAAACCTTCACTAAGGCAATGTAGAAAGATATAAATAAACTTGTTATTAGTCTTATCATGATGCAGTGTCATTCCTACTACTATCTGATTTATCATTCTTTACCAGTTTAAAATTATACATCAAAATAATTAAATTATAGTGCACTACACTTACATTACTCTGAATCTTTGTATTTTCTGCAATCCTTCTTATCTCTGGAGTATCAGCTACTTCAGTGTGCTTTGCATGAGGAACATGACTGGAAAATAAATCAAGGTTTGATCAAAACAATAACACACCATCAAAGAAAAGTGAAAATATTTTGTTTTTCAAGTATTAACTGATATATTTGTTTTAAGTGACATAATCTGCATATAATGTTATTATAGTTTACATGAACATTTCAGTAATAATGTTCCCTGGTATTTTATAATGAATGAGCAATAAGTTCACTAGGAAAATTACTTTTGCATTCTGACATTTACAACAGCAAAATCAGACATATGAGAACTAATAAATATTCTACTAGCTTTAAGATGAGATTTCATATTTATTTTAAGAAACAGTACAGTTGGAAATCCTTATTAGTGATATACATACAGTTCACATTTTCTTTAGTACTGGATACCTTTCAAAACATATTGTCAATAAAAAATTAATATACTATTAAAGTATCCAAAAGTTGTTCCGTTTTACAGATCTTTAAGTAAAGAGAATGTGAGAAGATAATTTGGTCCAGTGATGCATCAATGAATTGTAATACTTAACACGGATATTATCATACAATGTGGAACTCATACAATGTAAGCCTTTGGACAAGATTTATCTCAGGGGAAAACACATTTTACCATCATAATTTGCCCCTTAAACACATTCTTTTTTTTTTTTACATCAGTCTTCCTATTTTTAGAAAAACATGGAGTAAATTTCTAGGGTTCAATGCAAGTTCCTAAAAATTGTGAACTTCATAAGTCTAGCAAATGCAGATGAGCATATAAAAATGTGTAACTCTAATCTTTTGACCAAAATTATATATACTCAAATATATCTTTAATTCATATACCCTCTATTACACATATATCAACAGTAACAAATTTACTTAAATTAATGCAATGATACTATCAGTATCTACACTGATTTTGTCTATAGTGGAAGACAAGTAAAATAAGACAAGCAACTATAAGAAAATATAACATAATAAAAAAGAAAAGTTTTAAACTGTTTTATGTATGTGTGTGTGCGTGTGTGTGTCTATATATAGACACACTCACAGTAAACCTCATTTTATTTCATGGCAGTCTTAATGTAAACCATGACTTCTTTATTAGTTAGAACATGTGACATTCTATATGCTGCACTGTAAAACTTCTAATGACCAGATTAACAATATAAAATACATGAATGAATACAGAGGGTTTAGTACATAGTATTAGTACATTATAGTAAAACAGTTTTGAATATGCAAGTCACATGACACCCACAGCCATATAAAGTCCCAGAGGAACAGCTTGTATCAAAACTACATTTTGACATTGCTTGGCATTTCATAGGTAGTACAATGTCACTGAAATATGAGTGCTTTTGGGAAAAGTATGTAATGGTCCTTTCCAACAGAAAATATACATACACTTAAATCACGAAGATGTGTTCATATCATAGATTTAGAGTTTCCAAGACAAGGTTATTCCTTTTAGTTAATGGCATTAAAAAAAGTAATATGGATAAACTTGATGCACCAGGACAATCTAGAAAGAAATTTGCGACAAGTTGTACCCAGCCATGACATCTTGTAACAGGTTAAAATCCAAAAACCCAAAGGCCATCCATAGGTCCAGGCAACAGTACATAACATGATCAATACAGATCTCTGTCTGCAAACAAGGTCAACAAGGCATGGGTTCACCAATATAAGGCTTTCCATTATACCTCTCATTCAACCATCACATACTGGATAATGAAATTGGTATTCATGCTATAACATACAAAGACATACTGGTCAAGGTGCCACATGCAACACCTATGGCTTTCTGTGTGAATTTAGTTTTAAAACAGGCATTGGTGAGCAGTCATCTTTGTACAATAGAAGGATTATGGGAATGCTTGCAGGGAGGAGAGGTGTGCTTTGGACATAACATCCCTACAACATGGCCTTTTGTAATGGAAAGTATGCAGCAAGGCTACTTTCAAGTTGCATGATCATCACATAAATCAAAATTGGACGTAGAAACGTGAACTGTAATGATATAGTGAGACTCTGAATTCGTTTCAATTTTATGTACTCAACTTCTGTTTTTGTGTAGAGCTTAGATGCAAAATGCATATTTTTGAAAGACAATTAGGTTTTCTAGTATTCTGTCCCTATAACAAGAGATTATAACATTATACACCCCTAATTAAGCATTAAAATTCTCTCCATCTGTTTTTTTTTTACTATGGAGTTACAGCAAATTACCTGTATCTATGTATCATTTTCTTAGAATATAACTATGCAGAATAAACAGTTCAGTTTTTTACGGGTATTCATTGAGCAATTAGCTGTCACAAAAAGAAAATGTTTGTCTTATTATGTATATATATATGTATATAGCATGAGAGATAAACATAATTGATATTTCATAATAAAACATCAGTGCCACACTAGTTACATACCTTACTAATATATATAGTCAACAGACTTCATTGTTTCATCCTATTTCTTTATTGTAATAGCTACCAGTTTGTTACTTAGTATGCAATATTGTTAAAACCTTTTAAGTTGTAGTGAGTACTCATCGTATCAACATTGCAGGAGAGGGATTTTAGTTTTAAAATAACTTTTAGAAGAGCATAACTTAGTGGACAAATGTTCACTTTTGTGTGGTTAGATAAGAATGTGGATTGAGTGAAATACCACACTTCTTTATATATTTTTTTATTTTAGCACATTCTACTAGTAAATGTTAACTTGAACATCACTGCATAACAGTATTCATGTTTGTTATTTCTACACAGGTTTCATTTTCTTTAGGGAGATGTGAGATGATATTTGTAAGGTGCAGAAATGTACTGATATTCTATTATTTAGGCACACAAAGTATTACTGCTTCTTTTATTCTAACAATATTTTTTAGATTTAAATATTCATCTCTGTTTATGTACTTGTTAACAGCATAATGACTATAAAATACCACTCTTTCAAAAGTTTCAACTAATCATCCATGTTTTGATTTAACAAAATTCTCAGAACTCAATAAAATATTGAATTTGTAAACAAGATTTTGGAAAATACACTCCAAACTATTCAAAACTCAAATAAAAACAGGTTCAAACATAATTAGTGAATTTTCATTTTCCTTAAAATATAAAAATGTAACATATTCGGATAATCATAAAACAACATAAACAATACTCGCAAAATTGGCTTTTAGAAATCATTTTAATACTACAGCATTACATGAAAATTATGATTTGAAAATTTTGCAGTAGAAAAAGGTTTTTTTTATCAAATTTCAACAATATACCCACACATAAATTAACATGTATCCATAAAGTCACTCTTATTGGGCCTTGCACATAATTATTTTTACTTTTTTTCTTCATATTTACATGCAATGGATTGGCAAACATCTGTTTTCCTAATTGACATTATTCTATATAATATATACACATCTACTAGTATAACATTCAAATATCACATACATAAAAATGTATATATAGAGTTGTGGGATTTCAAGCTATGGTCTAAAACTAAAGACTATTAAATTCATATTGGATAAGTTGTTTACAGAACTTCCTTGTAAACAACACTTTCAATATATGCACCTTCAGGAACATAAATGTTAACTACTCAAATGACTATAATCTAAATAGAGCTATCTAGAGCTGACCAGAGGAAAAAAATCAGCTAAGTGCAAACCCAATGGACAGACATCCAATTTCCCCATTATATTATTGTAAGATTTACAATATTACATGGTGATAATGATACAATATGCTCAGCTTTGTTTGTATCTTAAACATCTCTTCATTTTTCCTGTAAGAAGCTGTTTTAAATCACATGGTTTATGATCAATATGAACTGTGATCTATAGTCTTGTCTTTCACTTTTAAGATTAGTTTGGTTTGTTTTAAATTTCATGCAAAGCTACACGAGGGCTATCTGCATTAGCCATTCCTAATTTAGCAGTGAAAGACTAGAGGGAGGGCAGCTGGTCATCACCACCCACTGCCAACTCTTGGGGTACTCTTTTCCCAAGAATAGTAGGATTGACCATCACATTATAATGGGCCCCATGGTTGAAAGGCCAACATGTTTGGTGGGACAGGGATTTGAATCTGCGACCCTCAGATTGCGAGTTAAGGTTAACCACCAGGCCATGCTGGGCTTTTAAGATTGTTTTAATGGGAAACGTCAATGTGGTATATAAACATACCATGAGTTTACCTTATTATATTAATACTAGCAGATGCCCATTGAAACATTTCAGTGGTAATTTTCTTAAACATAGTGATGAATAAATATAAAGTGTGCAGTCAACCCAATCCTTTGGATCAGTGTATATACAATATGATTGTCTAGTGGGCAGTTTACAACCATTTTTTGTCATTCCAAGCATTATTTTAATTATAAAAATTGCATTGCAGAGACTGAATACAATGCATTGTTGGCAAAAACCTTTGGTTTTCTGTGCAATGGGTACATGCAGCACATTAGGGTGCTCAGCTTTGCTAAGAAGCCACTGGATCCACCATTCCTTGTTATTTTACAAAGTGCAAGAAAAGACTGCTACTGAAGTGATTGCTTTTTGACAGTTGTTATTTCTTTAAGTGTCAAAGGGGAGATATTCAATTCCAAACCACTTATTCAATATGGTACAATAAAATCATACAAGTATATAACACCAACATGAAATATATATATACATAAACTGAACAAAAACAAATACATACTCAAACACATTCCTCTCTTTATGCAATTTTTTTTTGCTCATGCTCCTATCTTCAAAATATTTCTTTCAATCGGTTGAAAGACGAAGTCCATTTTGTTTTGAGGATATCCCCCCACAAAAAGAAACATTTTTGTTCTTAATAAGTTTTTTCTCAGATTGACTGTCCAGCACACAAGAAATCCAATGGACTGATGTTGATCGTGATATTAAATTTTAGGAATTGCCAAAAATTAATAACTTTCCTGTGACGAACTCTTGAAAATAAGAATTTTGATATATAATATTTTTTGTACAGTTAACTGTTCAGGAGATACGTTGTGTGACAGACAGA